CAGTCATAGAACAGCTAAAAATTAGCAAATTATCATGCAAATTAGGTAATTAACGAGCATGGATTTTTACCAAAACCTAATCAAATCTGCGCAATGACCAAGAGCATCTATGCACCAAGTTTCATCAAAAACCGATGTATGGTTCTTGAGATAGCAGTGGAACAGTCGGACACACATACACACATACACACACACACACACACACATACAGACACACTAAATGCAAAGACTCCCATTTTGTGCTTCGCACATGGGAGTCAAAAACATATAAGAAAAGAAAATAACTAATTTTTTGAGTGTGTGACAAATACAAATTGGATAGCTGAGCAATGTATACAAATAATAGTTCAGATTTTAGGTGATCCAGAACATAAAGACTATGAAAGAAATACAAACAAGCAGTATCTATGTACCACATTTCAATCCATTTGAGAAAACTGTTGTTCAGATATGGAATAAGCACTGAGAATATGTCACATCCTGTGCTACTTTCTTTTTGTATATGACAAATAAACAGCACAGCATTTACCTGCTTACATGCAGTGTTTTCTCCAGCTTTGTATTTATGAGGGGGATTGTCGCCCCTTCAAATCAAGCTAGTTGGCACGTCACAGTCAATACATGCACGAGCCATCATTAAAATAATTCAATGGGCAGTGAGGAAAGGGGCGATTTTCGCCCTTGGAGTATTTTCTTGAGGGCGCACAAAATGTAGTAGGTGGGGAATCGCGCGTCCTAGAGTAAACACTGTACATGTTGTTGTACCAGCCAGTGCAAGTTCTACACAGTCTATATATGGTATGTAATACTGTCAGAATATGCAGTATATTGTACAGTAAGTAATATCAACAACACAATTGTCTGTGCGCCAAGTTCACTCACACACCACGATGACACAATTCTATCTATTAAATATCCACATACATACTCACATCATAGTCAGCATAAGTACTCCACATTAACCACAGTGTAAATTCCAAATTAAAAGTCTATATATTCCATGGAAGACACAGTATGTTATACTGTACGTGCATGCAGTATATACACCCCATGGACTAGATATTAGCAATATTTACTTGTTGACTTTTGAACCACGACAGACAAGCTGTGACATGTATAAAACAATATACTTGATATGGACTGTGGCCCAATGTGCAAATATTGATCAACAATATTGCAGACACGTTCACAAGACTGCATAGGAATAGAAATATGCATGTCCAGAGGGACATTGAGAAGGAAAAGCTACGTAGTCAATGATGTTGTAACTCAACAACGGAGTTGCTCAGGAATTTATTATTGATTATTTATATGACAATAACAAAAATCTTATTAATGTGTGAGCTATAACACCGACTATAACAATGATAATATACTGCTGGATTTACAACTGATAGGATATCATACTATACCATAATTGCTTATTTTTGACACTTTTAATTAAATTTGACACATGCACATCACCTAGCTAAAAAAAAACATAGCAAAACTGATATCTTTTTAACTGCCATTAACCTCTAATGCAGTTGATGAGATTTGTAGTATGTACCCCACAAATTACATAGCCCCTGTCAGTTGTCATTTTTGGTACTGTTAAATACTTCATTTAAGCTGGAATTAATTTAATTTTTTGTTACAAGATGGTTCTTGAAATAAAAACTATTATTATTTGCTGAAAATACTTTTTGGATGTTTTGTATGGAATTTATTTTCACTGATTTTTGATGAGTTGAATGTAAAATATAGGAAAAAAGAAATATTAGTTGAATTTTATTTTCAATGAATCTTCTCATCAGCTGATGCATTATATAACTTCACATCAACTTGACCCGACCTGACCAGGAAAAGCTTAAAAATCAGGGGTTACTTTGCAGCAAAGAGTCAGTGAGCAAAAGTTAGATAGAGGTGGTAATTTTTTCACATCACTCGACCTTGGCAATTTTTAAAAATACTTTTGACCATCCTGAAGTAAAGTTTTACAGCATGCGATAATTGGAAATTTAAAATTAATATACATTGTACGAGTATTGTTGGTGTTCTCAAAAACAGAATTTTTATAGCATACTGATGACAATACAGTATTTATTTATAATTGACTAGGGAGTATGAATAAAACACACAAGGCTAGGTGGTACAGCTCTTCAAACAGGTGGTTTGAAGTAGCCACATTGCTTGATCTCAATCTTATCACAATATACTAAAATACAACTTAATATAAATTTGTTGTGAGCTTTATAAACATGGTGAACAGATTGCGATAGACAATGATAATATTCTACTGCACATACACATGTCTTAGGTTACCTAGATAGCCTAGTGGTATATATATCCGGACGACGCAAATAACAACAGGAATTTATTGCTGACAATGAAGGAAGTTTAAGTTGACAGTATCTATTTCGTGGCAAAAATTAAAAGCCACAGTTCGATACGAGTCACATGCAATGAGTATCCAATAGCAGTGTTTGTTTACATGAAATATGAAGGCACACGACATGGTGACGACAATTGCCTTGCATTCATACAGATGTCGCCAGTGTTTCAGGCTTTAAAGATTTATAAAGTGAAAGCGATAATTTATGGAATCTATATTCTACATATTTCAAACTGACATGTTTTAAAGTCATTATGATATAACTTGAATCTATATTCTGTATATTATTTTCACAGAACACTTTTGAATCAAATAAATATTGGCGAATTATAGTATATTAATTGTGTATTTTTTTATTTTTAGTTTTTTAGTTTGATCAATCAATGAATACAATTTACACTCTTCCAACACAAGAGCTTCTTTTAAGCTTTTTCCTGTGATTAGTTAAGTCCAAAAAGTAAAACTTGACATACCCATACTCGTTTTTCAACATTTTGAGCAATTTCAAATGGCTGTCAGAAATGACTCAATGCAATGAAATAATTGAAGTCATTGGTTTCATGGAAACAAGTTTAGCTACCTGCTATGCTTTATTTTTCAGATATTTGACGAAACCAGTTTCGCCAAGGAAAATGTCAAGAAATTTATTTTTTGGATAATTTTTACTTTTTAATTTTATGAAGTTATCTGTATAAAATTTTTTGAATTTTTGGTTCTCGTTTGTTATCTGTATGACATTTTTTGGTATTTTTGGTTCTGATTTGTTAGGGATGCGTGGCTTCTAATACAGATTTTTTGGTATATGTACACTTGCTGTAAGTAACCAGAATAATAGTAAGCAGTATGTACATGTACAAATATAGGTTGTAGCACTGTGACGTCATATGTTATATTTGTCTACCAGGATGTGAATGGTAGGATGTGAACAACCAGGATGTGAATAAATGTCACTCACTGATCAGCACTAGTTTGTGATTTGCTATGACAATACATGTATTGTCAATAAAGTGTTTATTATCATATATATGTATTTAATCAATTGAGTGACAAATTTTCTGTCCCGATAAAACTAGGGTCAATCTTAATTTTCAACCTAATAAAATGTGACATTGCTTCTAGTCTTTGATTGAAAAAATTTGAAATGTTGTCAACATTTTATGTGGAAAATACCACTATTTTGTAGATAGTGCCTGAGGTTGACTTTGGACTTGAACGGTTAAATACCAGTACAACAGCAGGGAGTTATTTCAAGTGCAAATGATCAATTCTTCCCAATGTGTTACTGTGCATGAGCACAAAACGTAAACTAGTGCAACTGTTTATACTGAAATATTTGAATCTGCCCGCAGTTTGCAAAAGACAAGTGGAGGCTATCCAGCAGAAACCTGTACAAATATTTAAGAAAAAAACATTGAAATCTGTCCCTCTTATCAATCTACTAAGGAGTGCGTATAAAATAAACCTGAAGTTTAATGACTGAATGACAGTCGTTAAGTGACTCTAAAACCTGTCAAAAGTTGATAAACAGTTACACATCATGTTTAGCCCACAGTTAGACATCGAGAGGGTAAACAACTGAACCATGTACACAATAAATGCAAATATAGTTAACTAAATACAGTTAACACCAGTAACTAAAAGACACAGAATCAAGACTCGGCTGAGCTTCCCACTCCAATCAATTGTAACAATTTGTGTATTTGCATAGCAAAACGATAGGTGTGTATGTATGCAGTGATTTCTTTCAGTGCTTGGTGTATATAGTGGTATGTACGTCACAGCTATTCATCTATGCCTTTTTATATACATTGTATTAAGTTAAGCATAGTATACATGGTCTTCTATTACACTAATAGTAAGATAGAGTTCAATATCTGTTACACAGTGTCATGTATTACATTTCCACACACACGCTATTGAAATGTGTAGATTAAAATGGTTTGAATACTGCATATAGTGTTTCATTTTTGCAGTTATTAATTAACGAGTTGATACTATGAAAATTGAATTTTTGCAAAAAATCACTGTGGCTCATTGCAACAAATTTTATGGTTCCCATTGACTCGTAAAATCTGCGCAATTGAAGCACTTTACACATTAGCCCCACTTAATTCACCGCATTGTGAGAACATAAAGTGAAGTACATAACTGCATGCAACTTATAAAACCCATTTTGTGGAATGCAGTTTCTCATTGAAAAGAAATGAAGTAAGCCTACTTCTAAGTGAAGCTTTATAACAGTCTGGCTGCATGCTAAAGATAGAAACACTACAAATACTGTATTTACTCTATTAGAAGTGCATCTTTAAATTGTTTTTTATAGAGAGAATAATATAGTATCTCAGATCACAAGGTGCTTTTGAGCACAGTTAGGAAATGCGTTTGTCACAAAGTGTGAATCATCGGTTGCTGCTGTACAATGCGTGTTTCACTTTTTCTTTAGAGATGATGACTTTATAGTACTGTTGGGTTTGTATGCAGACGTCAGGCCATACTCTCAGTTATGAGTATCTCAGGATTTTTTTTGTATATTACGCATAATATTCCAGGAGAAGCTAGATCATCAAATTTCATTTACTTCTGAATCTAGGTAAGTTTTTTTGTTTATGTCTACTTGTCTTACACCCTAGAAAATCAATGTTCATTTTGAGCTTGTGTTTTACTTGATCGACACAATGTTAATGATGGTGGGCGTTGTAACTTTTGGAACCTTTTACACTTTCCTCTTAGCCACTCTTAACTTATTCATGCAAAAATAATCAAAGTATATTGGCCAACAACTCAGGTAATTACGCTTATATGGGTGTAGAATTGTCATGAAATCCATTCATGTTTCAACTGTATTGTTTTAACTGAAAGAGACAAAATGGCGTCCCATTTAGTTACGATGTGTTTCATAGACGATATTTGTTTTCAATAATGCTGTCAGAAATTTTAGCTTAAACCTATAATACAATCGTAGATTGAGGTTTTTTATGTTTTCGTTTCTATGTTTGTGGTTTTGTGATCATTTTAACATGGTTTTAAAACCATATTGTGTAGAGAGACTGTGTTTTAAAGGACGATAGGTACTGGTAACTAAAGTAATTATTTAAAGCCTAATCAAAGAAACCTTAGAAAGAAATCAGTATGCTAAGGGTATTGGAGGCATATGAAGTAGGAATTATAAAATATTAAAAATCAATCTGTTTTTGGTCCAAATTATGAAATGTCAACAAAGTTTATCTGCAGATTCATGAAACAAGGTATCAGCCACCAGAAAAAAAAAAAAAAAATTCCGAGGACATCCTTTGGAACTGACATTTGCGCCATCTAGAAACAGATCTAATTTTTTTTCGGCCTTAAGATTAGCCTATTAAAAAGAAGCCTGTCTGTCTGTTAGTTCTACACTTTGAGAACACCTACGGTATGTACCAGGTTTTATTGAAATCGGATGAGCGTTTTTTAAGATATCAATGAAACATATATACACATACATGTATACACATATATGTATATGTATATCACACCACGCACTAATATTGCCAAAATAATCAAAAATAGAATACAAAGTACTTATTTGTAGCACCATTTAGTTGAACATCAATGTTATACATCTATTAAACTTAAGTGAAACATGAGAATCCTGTGAAAAGTCAGAAAATCATATAATCCCTTTTCAGACAGTATTAGCCTGCTCGGACAATTTTATTCTCAGTTCACCATTTAATCGGGTGATCTGCCTAGGAGGGAAGCAGATCTATGAAACAAACTTTAACAATAATAGTTTTATATTTGCACTTTAGGCAGTGGTTGTTAAGACAGAAAAATTATCAACTGTGAACATGGTGTTTTTGTTCCATGCTTCGAATTCCCTAAGACTTATCTGTTACACTAACAAATAAGACTTTTAATCGAGTTCAAATATATACACATATACCATAATATCGTCGCCAGCCAAGGTTCATTTACTCAGTCATCACCTCACCATTATACCTTGGGAGAAATCTCACTAAAAATCTGCATTTGCTCTGGTGTGTTTTCATGATAAATGGAACACATAGTCAAGTGTTATGATGTGTTTCCATGGAAATTGAATGCAAAGACACGTGTTTGTGTCATTCAAGCTTAGACGTGATATAAGACAGCATGATCTATTGATTCAAATTTGAGTTGCTGATTGATGGATCCAGCTTCTTGGCGCAGGCAATCCAATCATTCAATTTAACAGAGCTCAGATACAATTTTTCCTAACACGATCATGAACAGGTTGATAGAGATGGCCATGGATGGTCAGCTTCAGTGAAATAGTGTAAATCTGATGATGGTACCATAATTAGCTGAACTAGTGGGGAGTAAATTAAGTGAAAACAATTTTGAAACTGTATATCCTACCTTCTTCCAATACTGCTAGCATATCATCTATCGTCTCACATTCCACAAGGAATAAATTTTCTACATAAAATCCTTTAGTTTTGGACCACCTTACAAGTAAATTGTCTCGTTGGGACGGATTTAACAAGTCTTTGACCTACAATCAGATACAGCACAGATTAGGTAGCACTCAATTATGAGGCTTTTTTAGGGGATGTATTTTTAATCATAAAGCCATTGGTTGATGTGTGCAAAAATATTAAAATTGAAATCTTTGTTTCGGACCTCAAAATCAGTTTACACCAGAGACCTATACTGGAAATACTGATAAAATATTTATGACAAGTCAGAGATGTGATGTGGGCAAATTACGTAAAAGTCTTGATTTTGTAGGTGTATTTTGTAGGTGACATAAACTATGCAATTTAAGTTTGAGGCGTTGTATAAAGTAAGAAAGAAAAATAATTTCCATTGCCAGCCATGTGTTTTGGGTCACGTTTTTTTTAGAAAATTTACATGGTGAGAGTGGAGGATATTATTTGTATTATATTATCAGTGATCATGCAGATTAAATCTCTCGGGAGCAACAGTCGAATGAATCTATTAAACTGTAAAAACTGCAGCAAACGGTTAACACATTGAACAGGCCTAATTTCATACACTGACAACAGTCACTGCTAAGGTACAGTATAATTTATAGAAGATTCATGATTTTGTAGCTCTCAAAATAATTCTCACCTGTTCATTGTAAATTTCTAAATAGGAAGCACTTAAAGTATAAGTAATACCAGCTTTATCCGTATTCTTCTGAAGGTTCATAAATAAATACTCAAATGATCTTTGGATCATTCCATACAATTCAGGGTTTGGATTTTCATTCTGTGAAGACAAATTAAAAACATATCAGAATACGATACAGTTCATATTTACCTAAAAGTAGTCTGAAATGCAAAACCACAGTCCCTGTGATAGAGGGACTGTGGCAAAACTAACAGTTGTTAAACTGCCAGGGTGGTGAAATATCATCATGTCAACAAGAAAAATATCCAATAATTTGGCTTTAAAATCACAGTAATATAGACTTAGTTTCAGAAACCACGCTTCCAGTAATTAAACCACATGACATAATGATGAAGGTGATGAAGACCACAAGGGCAGGCAGAGACATGACATATTCCATCTAGCAACTAGAACATACATGTGCAAAATGTTTGAAAGTTGCATTCACACTTTCTAAATATTCAAAAAATTACATTTTTGCTTTAAAAAAATATTAAATATTAAAAATGGATATCCTGTCCAGACCTTTTCACACATTTCATTTTGACAGTACTGGAGATTCATATTTCCAAAGTGAAAAGCAACAACAAGAAGGCAACTACATAATGTAAGGCTCAATAGAAAGTAAAACAGTGATCTCATTTTCACAAGCTGATGGAGTAATAAAACAAGTACATATTTCGTATATAAATTCTTACCAAGTTGAATGGACCAGTTATAGTATATGTTTTCCCTGAACCAGTTTGTCCATATGCAAATGCAGTACTGGCATATCCATCAATAGACATTTCAATCAGTTGTTTTATGCCACAATTGTCAAAAACATCTTGTTGACTTGCGCTGAGTTCAAACACAGCATTGAATGTGAATGACTTCTTTTTTCCAGGCTGATCAATCTATTAAATAAACACAAAACAATGACATACAATGACTACTACTTATCCTACCTAATATATGGTTCTTTTAGCTGCAATACTTTCTTTGATGAATGATGATGTTCACAAATTATGTTTGACATTAATATGACTATATAGGCACATAAAACATTGTTTTCAATGGCTTTTATTTTGACTGAGTAACAATGTATCTGAAATTGAAACCATTCAGTTTTTCATCATTTTCAATTAAAGTGAACAAATGTAAGAGAATTAGGTGGTGCATGTTACATTATTCTGAGGTAAAGCTGTAATGCTTACCACAACATTATTGTTACCAGGCAATTCAATAGCCATACTGTCATGCCGTGTTATTTCACCATCGTTCAATGGTCTTACCCTGCAATACAAACATATTTATTCCTGTTAACTACTGACAACTTTGACAACTTCTGTGAACTGATGATAACAACTGTTAACTGATGACAACTTGGAGAGTACGACTATATTATATGAGGCCCTGACTCTCTCATTAATTAACAAACCATTTTGGGTTGCCAAGGATTCCTAACCATTTTGGGTTTGAGAATTCTTACCAGAACAAGGCCCCAAAATAGACTGTTAATTTATGATAGCGGCTGCCGAGCTGGAGTACACATGCTGTGTATGTAGAATAATAATACGGTGTACTGTAAAATGACTAATTTTCACTGCGTTTAAATTTCGCTGATTTACCATTCGGGCATATTCAATGGGTTTTAAATTCATGGTTTTATCATTTAGATAATGTGTTCTATGCTAAATTTTACATATTCACTGGGTTTTAATTTAGCGCAATTTCCAGTCAGCGAAATAAGCTAAATTAAAACCCAGTGAATAATTAACCCCTTTACAGTAATAAACAACCACAATGCTTGATACTACGTTATAGTATCCCAGTAATAATGCCCATTTAACTCTTTCGTCAATCATCCCAACTACCAAGGGAGCATACAACCCCAGCTGCCATATACAGGTGCACATGGGTTATGTGCCAAACCTTCCATAACAGCCAGGTTTCCATTTATTTCCTGGTAGGGGGAGAAAGGAGTAAAGTAGGATGCAACACCATGATATAAATATAGCCAAGACTCAACTCACAACCATGTGATTGTCAGTCCAGAGTGACAACCATTTTGCCTCCATGAAGATCAATGGGCCAATAGCCTGTAGATATCAAACCTGATAAGTTTATGATGTATCATAGTGAATTACGTGTTGCATTCCATCACAAATCATTTGCTTAGCTCATTTAGAGTAACTAAATTGGGGACATTTTTCAATTTGGATATTTTCAGTTCAAATCCAGGATGTTGATGCTCATAATCATGCCACATTTTTAAAGTGAGTGGAAGTTGTACTCTCTACTTGGATCATGCAAGAACAAATTAGTTCTGAAAAACAGTTTGTTTATTAGTAAATTAGTTATATAGATATAACAAGCCATGCATGGCACAGTCCCTGTTAGTTAAATTTAAGATATATAGTTTTGTTTATAGTATTATAGCTAGAATATAAACATTTCAGGAATACAATTATGATGATTGTTTAACATTAAAATGATTGACATTTGTATTTGATCCTCAAACGAGTACTTGCAATTGTCCATATTGAGAGATATTGCTCTGGAACAGCATTAATTAAAACAAAATCAGCCATTTTGAATACATGTATATATCTACAACATGATGTATAATGAATATATAAAATCAGTCAAAGCATGTCACAGTTATTGAATCCAATCTGAAAAATAAAATGGACGTGCATCAGGAACTTGTAATGACTAATGTATGTACCAAGTTTGAACAAAATCCATGCATAAATACCAGAAATGCTTGATGTTTGATGATTTTTTAAGCACAAAAATGGCCACCAGTCGGCTATTTTTAATAGGATCGTCAAACCAATATATCTGTATATCTATGACATGATGTATAACATGATGTATGACATGTTGTATGGCCAGTCGGTCATTTTGAATTTTATCTGAAAAACAAAATAATGTGCATCAAGGTCCTATAATGTCCAATGTATATACCAAGTTTAAATAAAATCCATCTGTAAACAGCTGAGAAATGCTTGATTTTGATGATTTTTTAGCACAAAAATGGTGTGCATATGTATAATATTATGTATGATGTATGTGCGAAGTTTGAATGTAATTGGTCCAGGCATGTCTAAGATACAGGTCCAGATGCTCGCACACACACTAACACACACACGCATGCATGGACACATGGATGCACAGAGGTCAATCCATAAGTACCCGTTTTCGGACTATGTCCGAACGGGGACTAATAATCACCCCAAAGGTGAGTATGCCTTTGTATGTTACCTGATCAAAAGTGGCTGTTTATTCCTGTTAACGTACAAGTATGAGTATGGTAACGAAGTTAAACTGCAAAGAGTATTTTCTTAGTAAATGCTAACAAAAAAAGAGAGCAAATGCTAGAAACTGCTGTTAACTACCGACAATTATTACTGTGAACTATTGGCAACTGGTTAACTAGCATTGAAAACTGTTGTTAACAACTGATAACTATTGATAGCTGCTGTTAAATATAATTGACAATTGTTATTGTGCACTAATTACAACTACTATTGAATTACATTGGCAACAGATGTTAACTACTAACTGCTGTTAACTACTGATAACTGTTACTGTGAACCATTAAAAACTCTCGCTATAACTATAATTGACAAAACGACCGACATATAGATGTGTCTCAGTAAGCCAAGAGGTGATAATCACACTTTAAAAAGTCATAATTTACTAATGAGATATGTATTAGACTAAGATTTTTTATAGTTATATATGGTAAAATCATTTGTTCCTCATTTAGGAATAATCCTTGATCTCTTAGGTTTTCAAATTTTTGCATTTCTGGAAAACACCGCCCTCTATGGTTGCACTTTGTTATTTGTCAGAGCTTATGTATGGAGTGGAAGAAGTTGTTTTTAGTGTTGCAAATATCGCTGTAATGTAATACTTTTGTTTGGGTTTTCAAACTATAACTCGATTCAGTCAGGCTGATGAAACACGTGTTTCATTTGGCCTTTGGGAGTCGCAAGCAAAGTTACATTTGTCTGGAATGTGCATTTATAGCTTATGCAAAATTCATGTTTGAGTTTGAAAACTGCTCACAGCAAATCAAGAACCATTAATTCTGCTATCAAATAAAAAAGCTCGGAGCTAAGCAACTACTTTAAAGAAAATATAATTAATGAAATGCGGACATTGCCAAAAAGTAGGAAAACTAAATCCCTGCCTCTAGGATATCTTTAAAATAATGATTACATGTCAATAACTAGGATGTTGCTATAAACATTGGAAAAATGAGCCACATTAACATATTGAAACTATTGTAATAGACCATATTTCGTTCACTGCGAGATCCAAGGTAAAAACAGGACAAACAAAGGTCATAGCATTGTAGTGGCATCAAAACACTGTGTGTGATTTGACAAACGAGTATACCAGTATACACATAATGGTCAATTTTGATGAAGTAAGGGTATCTCAACTCAACATTCCCCTCTTCAAAAATCAGTATTTCGACTTTGAGCTATAAAAAAGAAAATAAACTAAAAAATAAATCCTTTGATTTTTGCAGCAGACATTTTATTCACGTCTGTACAGACCTAAATCTCACAATGAATGAAAAATCACCTTTTGCAGCGGGGGTATGTGCAAAGAAAAAATCTTAGCGCAGGAGACTAAAGGTAACATTCACAATTTAGCTCTGTACAAAATTGTATTAGAGGGAACCTAGCTAGACCTACATGTTATTGTGTTGAGTTTACTGACCGACTTCAACGAGTAACTTAGAACTGAAATTTGAAAATTCTTTAAAAGGGTAAGGTTATACGTTATATATAGGAAATGGCTGTACATGTACTAATGAAATGAAATCGGTCACAATGAAAGCCATGGAAGTGTTAAATTGAAATCAATTTGAAAATACTTCAGACAGTAAATTAAATTAATCATGCTTCATAACACGATGTAGTGGTAGACAGTAATGGCAACAAGTACAGTGGCTTATTTACAAATAATAATGATTTAATCTTATCAATATTACACCTTGATTGAAGCTGTATGACTATTAAGAGAGCACAGTACAAAAAATACCAGCATATTGGTGACAATGCAACATATGTAAGTACAATTTAAAGCCCTGCACAATGTTGTGATGGATCCATGTTACAATACACTAAACTTGTGAAATACATTTTTTATTTTCATGAAACTTGAGCTTGCGCTATGTTACAACTGTGGTGATTTGAACACTATCCACAACAATGCCAAAAGAGGAAGGTGGCATGATGATGAGCTGCATGTGACAATTGCAATTCGATAGAAGCAAACCAGAAGCTGCATTTATTAAATACAGGATCATTAAAATATTACTCATACATGTGCTAATAGTATTAGAAAATTACAGTATTAAAGTTGCATTCCCACTTCCCACTGATTATTGTGGATTACCATGAAAAAATTATAAAATCGGTTGCTATGGCAACAAATCCTGAAAGATTAAAGCACTGAAGAATGTGGTGTTACCAAATCAAAAATAAATTCATTTGAATCAAAAATTCTGTTGGATGAGAAATCTTATGACCATGCAAAACCTGGAGCCCTTAATTATGATGCTTCCATGAGTATTTTTTTGCTGCTATCAGTTTTTGTAAAATTAAAGCTATGATTGTGAGTGATTACTGATTTACCATACATAACTGTCACTTGTTTAATTTCCTTGTGCAGACTGTTTTGTCGCAACAACTATGATTTCATACCTGTCAGGATATTTCATTTCCAAGATTAATATTTGACGATGATGCCTCATCGCCGCAAGCACACCGTAACAATCTTGCATTTATCCAAAGATGCACTGTGTTGTGAAGAGTATATGGCATAATACACCAACAGCATTTTCAATTAGTAAACAAGATAGGAAATATACTGTATGCTACTACAATTTATATCATACTTAGTCTATTTTTAGGCAAATTATCCACGTTCTACCCACCAAAATGATTTTGTTCATCTACTACTTTGTGAATGATTGTAAGAAAATCAACTATATTGATTAAACATTCTTTTTTCAATCTCAAGTCTCTATTAAATGTATGATTGTGATTCAAATTATTTGTTAAAAGGAAGTCCATTGGGAAAAATACCTACAAAAAACCCTACCTGCCTCCCCAACAGATTTTTTTTCTTTTTTTTGACCTAAGTAGCTTTATGCCTGTTTTTCAAAAGGTACTGACAAAAATAGTAACATACATGTAAGTAAAACTATATAGGAATGTCACCTGATACAGATTTACAAAGGCAAATGTAAAATAACCAAGAACTGATATGGTAGGTAAGGCTCTGGAAAAACTTCTATGTACGTTTACTTGTACCAAAATTCCTATATATGCCCAAGATCTAGATCAGTAATGGTGAAACCGCTTGATTTTGGTAAAGTTATTGATTAACACACAACACTGTACATTAATATGTGACAATCGTAAATATTTGAAAATGTTTGCTTAGTATTGGTTTATGCATCGTTAAAAAAAAAGGTTTGAAGAATTATTACAACAATCATGAGATAGTGTTGGAACACAAAAAGTCTGAGGCTTTATGGTATAGCACAACTAAATGTTGTTGGTATATGTAAACTATTGCTAATTTGAATAAAAACCAACACAACCTGAATGCAATACTGTATATTACTTTATTTTCACTTAAGATTTATTGTCACTTGAACTATGAATCGGTGAAAATAAAATCCAGCGAAAATACCTTTTTTTCCCAATATTTTTTATTCAAATAAACACACAAAACAGCCAAAATGTCTTTTCAGTGCAAATTAATTCCAGCTAAAATAAATCATTTTACAGTATTTTGAAATTGTAATGTATTTCTTATAAATTCATGATAGCAACAGCAAGATTGACTTTTAAAAGATATTTTTTAAAGTGTGTATGGTTTGTGAATTAATTGCCATCATAGCATTATTATTTTGTTGTTGAGTTTTTTCGGATGAGTTTCAATTTTAGTAATCTGTATTAGTTATAGTATATGTAAATTACATGGGCATATAAACAGCATGTGTTATCCGCTTACATTACGTTTTATTTTTTTGTAAAAACTATTGACATTAAAATTTAACCAGCACACATGTACTTTGAACAAAATAAACAGTAGTGAAATAGAAAAATTATTGCATTATCATTTTGGTGAATTTTGAATATAATGGCCATCGAATGACTAGTATTGAGAAATTGCTGAATGTACTACCCAGTAAGCTTGTTCAAGTGGTAACCCCAGCTGTTTTGAATTTCACTCAAACTGGTGCTAAGAAAGTGCATCATGAGGCCATTTGATATTCTGTGTATGAAGCAATTTTATTCAAGCAGGAGCACAATGTTCAGTTTTGGCCGAAATTTTGGTGTAATTTCAGCACTGGCCCCCATTCAGCAATCTTGAATCACATCGTAAAAGAATTGTATGATGTGAAACATTTGAATGTGATCAGTAGTCAGGAATGTCTTAGACATTGGAAAGACAATGCACACACACACACACACACACACACACAAATTAACCTAGAGTTTCTGTTCTGTGCCAGGCTCGTCCAAATGGGACTGAAAACATGTTATAGGTTGGAACTATTTATAATTTTCCAAGTTTTTATTTGATATTCACAGGCAGTAAACATAAATAATTCATAACACTTGGCTCAATCTTAGCTGCACCTGTTCCAATTCACTACAATACTGAAATGCCATTAAGTCTCAAATATTTGTGCTAAGAGTGACAGTGAGAATTATCATAATATGAAAATTAAAACATATAGTTATATTACATAATATTATTAATAATGTATCCAGTATTTTTAATATTTAAAATCGGTAGGAGTGGTGTGGGGACACACGATAACAATAGAACTAAATAGAAGAAAAAATTGAAACTGACAAAAAGACTATAATGCTGTAGTACCTGATGATCAACTTTAGAGAAACAAAACGAAATATGTAGACTAAACTAATATACAGAGCCAAGTACTTCATTGTAACCCAACAACAAAACAAACAACAGTGACAACATGGTTGAAACATTGGGCTAAGAAACAAGTATTGACAAGCCTTGCAGTTTTACATAATGTTACCACATTGCTGCTGAAAGCCTCTACTGATAGCCAAAATGAATGAGGAAAAAATGGCATCAGCAGCCGACGTGTTAAACGGAATTTGAGAGATAGTGTAAAAATAAACAAGTAAGACCTAGTTCATAAAATTAATTTAGTTCAAAACACACAAGGTGAGCTGTTTGTTGTTTTAGAACAAATATACACAAAATGACATTCCATAGTTACTATGATCAAACAGTGCTGTCAACACATGTAATCAGAGGTTAAAGCAATCTAGACACATTAGTTACAAGCAATGCATAATTCAAGCGTTATTCACACATGAAGAATTGTAAAAGTTGAGTACTGCACTCCTTGAGTTCCTATGGTTGATTGCCATTAACAATCAAGGCTTTCCAGAAAATGACAACGCTGGAAATTGTTGCCAACTTTAAACAGTTTTGTCAACAATACTAGTATATTTGAGGTGCAGAATAACTTCAATAGAATTATGTCATTCCCATGCTGATTTATGTACATAGTAGGTCATGTAACCTTCTGGTCAGGTCAAATGTTTCGCCTCAAGCAATAAAAAAAATCACACATACTGTATAAAAAAATCAATACTAGATCTCTCAGTGGAATGCCACTTAAAGTCAAATAGTTCAGGTAATAGTACACAATACTGTGCACACCACATCAAAGTGTAGTGTTGAATTATTGAGGCATGCACTATAATAGGCAGGGTATACATACACAATAACCACCAGTAGAGATCCTACCATAAAAAAACACATGCTTCACTGCACAGAGGGTACAAAAGAGTGGCAGATAAATAATGCTTGAAGACTGTTTAGTTGTGTAATATATTTAGGCAATCTTATTCGCAAGCCGAGTCATTTACAAGTAATTTTAATTAGGCCAGCAACATAAAGTAAATTTTGTTGACACCCATTCAATTTGTGACTATTCATCTAATACGGCAATTGTACTAATGGTACTATGGTGGTCTATTGATTGTAATACATTTTTTTGTTCTCTGTGAGCAGGGGGTGGGTGATAGTTAAATCGAGCTCTCACTCTGGAATTTCACTGTGATCCTAATCTTCCAATAAGGCAGATGGAGAAATGAATTTTTCCCACAGTAGTATTTAACTCCCAATGTGTGAAAACTTGGAGCGGGGTTATTTTACACATAAAGCCAATGAATTCTGAGTCAAGTGGGTTTGTCTAGTTTTTGAAATAAAATCAGAGTTGAAAGACTCAAAAATATAGCTAATTCCAACCACATTAATTATTGGAGAAGTTGACCTAAGTAGAGTACTTTATATGTGTCACTTCCATCCCATCCCATTTCAAAACCAGTTTTCTTTCAACATAGCAAATGTTTATGTGACCTCGCTCCTTGATACAAATTTGGGGGAGGGTCCAATTGTCCTACCTTCATCACATTAACATTATGGCAATTGAGTCAGCTTGATAAAAAGTAACATTTCGGTATAATAGCGTTGCAAAATTATTAATTATAAATATTTATTACAATGCATCGTACTGCTGAAGTTATTAATAACGTATGATATAGTAAGTCCTACTAATATTAATTTATGGTCGAATGTCCCATAATTAACAAAGGTTGTGTCACTAAAACTCAACTTGATTCAACTTAAATATATATTCAAAATACAATGTCATGCGCTCCATAACTGGCTAGTCAGACAAATGACCCCCAAATTCTAATTGTAGTGTAACAGACTTGCGATACCTAATGTTAAAATTTCAAAAACAACATGTAAACATAGGACACTCTGGACTACAGCGTTAAAGGATTGTTTTTCACACAATAGTTACAATTAGCAAACTACTAGTTCAAAAAACAGTAAATGTGATAAACATTGGACACCCACGGACAAGTTTATAGCAAGCTATACCACCTGTTGCACATAGCAATGACATAACGTGTTGTCACAGGAACAAATTAGGAATAAGCAAATACACAAACAAATAAGATTAAGCCACATTAAATCAACATTTTTGTGTTCAGAAATGCATAATACAATACATTGAGCTTTGCTATCAGGTTACCATGGAAATGCATTAAAGTTGCACTCTGAGCATTATAGAGCTTTATTGGGGTCTTGGTAATAGATTTTGTATTAAGTGACATATTTATGGTATGAATTTGTGCCCAGGATTCTGCATTGTTTTGAATTATTGTGGCCGCAGCCATTCAAAACAGCAGCAAACATTTGTGAATGTTGGAACACTATTCCAAAGCATTAATAATACAAATTTGAACAATTAAATGGGAAACCCAAATTATCAACAGCATTTGGACTCATGAAAAACATTGAAATTTAAAACGTAATATGGAAACAAACCTCAGAATCAAACTTACAGGCCATGATGATGTAATATGAGATGGACTACTTACCTCACAACTACTTTAATACTGCTATCCTCAGATTCATCTTGGACAAAATGAGCATCTGGAGCCGAGGTTAATGAACTCCTGTAAGAGTAAAAGAGAGTTTAAATTATTCAGTCAGTTCTGAATATCACATCACAGTCAGCAAAGCTGGAGAGTTGTATACAGTAGACGTTATTTTTAGACAAAATTGTTCTCAGAAATGTTATTTTTCATCGACTTGCATGTACAACCTAGACTAGAAACACATGTATTTCTAAAGTCTATGCTAATATCATCTATGTATATGTAATAATAAAACACATGTTGATAAAAATAAAAATTCATCAAGAAATATGATATTTTGATCAAGATTAATAATTTAAAATGGACCTAATCAATTTCCTTGGAAACCATTTCATGATACCTGGAAGAAATGCTTTAATATGCAAATTGTTTCTATAATTTAAATTTCAGTAGTACATTTCATATGCATAAATAATATGAGGCATTTTTAACCCTTCACAAAAAGAGGCTACAAATTTTTTTTTAAAGGAAAAAAAATGATATGTCTCAGCACATCATGTTTTCTTTAACATGACAGGACCAGAGACAATATTTTTTTTTGCATAATTTTGTTCACAACTTTTTTGAATAAAATAATTTGTGAAATGTTGTGAAATGTGTGTATTTGCTCCCATATGTAATGTAAGAAATAAAATAGTCCTTATGGAACCATAGTACTACGATAGTATGATACAGATTACTGTAAAACACATTGAAATAGCTACATGCAATTTTAGTGAATTGGATCCAATGCACAAATTAACAGAATCTTAATTTAAAGGACGGTAGTCGTCGCGCCACGGCTAGTTCGATATGGGACTCATAGCGACGTACACAACGCATGTAAAACAATTGTTTCTCATTGTGAGGGTATACTTTTTTTTAAATTAGCGAAATAACAGATTAGATAAATTAGCTAAAATGACATGCTAGCTAAAACGACATATTTTACAGTACCCTTTATATAAACTCAAGTGTTTGTCAATGCAATTTTATGATCATCTCATTATTTTCTTGATTGAAAAGGACAGGAAAAATCAATTTTATTGCCAGCTTAATGAGAGTGATTCAAATCATTAACAGGAAGCTTTGAGCAGCATTTTGATGTAATTTATAGTGTTACTATAAATATAATGGCTATAAGGAGAAGTATCCAATTGACAAGTGTGTCAAGCAGGTGTCCTGCACAGCCATGTGTTCAGGTGGACTATATGTTGTTCTGATCAATAAAGGAATATGAAATACTCTTCCTGAAAAGTTTTGCCCTCAAAGGACTGTGATATAAATGGGTTGAAGGAGGCGTGTTCACAGCTTCAATATCATGCTGAGCTGTGGGTGTCCGTCAATAACAGACTGCATTTTATATTTATTAAATATTGAAACAACCAAACACAGTTGTGTTGTTTTGCATTACATTGCTTTCACATTATTTATGTCATTTTGACAATACAGAAGTGCTTCACCAAGACATCTAGGATGACCAGTCTCTACAAACTACAGCATGGAGATTCCAGCCAGGTTCTAGCCTTTTAATTATGACTGTCATAAAAAGAGGGTGTAGTACCCGACTGGCTTCATAGCTGTAGATACTAATATATATTTTAGTAAGTTACTTTTTGGGAGTCATAACATTTTGATTTCTGGCTCAATCTAGGCAAAAGCAGTTTGGCATTTGCAAGAGCTTAAAGGCTATGTCCAGTCAAGTCTAATCTCAAAGCAAACTTACTTACTGGATTAAAATTATAATGGAAAACAATTGTATAGGGCAGTTGTGTGTTTAACATCATTTGACTAATTGAAGGATTTTGTTATTGTCTTGGGGACCACTGTAGTAAATCATTTTGCCTAATAGCCACCAGGCATAAACACTGAAGGTGCTATCGTCAAGTACTAGTACATAGTATACATAGTTCAAGTAGATGCTTTGGGCTCAAAATGTGACAATAGTATTGCCCTGGAGAACAATATGAGACACACCCAGGAGATTAGAAAGTTATTACCTTATTATACTGATGTCTGTACTAATACTACCTTCACAAAGCAAAGCACACTCTATTATTGTGGATGATTCACACAGTCCCAATAGTCACGGTCAAGTTGTAAAGCTAACTTGAATAAAGTACAGTAACTATTTATAATGTTATGGGATGTGAACACCATGGACTCGAATTCAAAAACCATATTTCTAAATTATGAATATAATTTTAAAAGTTTATGTAATTTCAAATACTGTCAAAATGGCTGAATAAAAATTAAGCCATTTCCACAAATAGGAAAATATCAATGTTATTTTGGCATAAGGCCACAACTTTGTCGTCACTGTGTAAACACTATTTGCAGTCAAGCGTGCCTAAATTCTAGTTCCACATTTGACCGCGGTCGTTGCTGCAGACGATGAAATAACGGTAAAAAAAAATCGTTCAGAGTTAAATATATTTTAACAGTAAACAATTATATTTGATAATGAATTATTGATACAAATCGTAAGACATACCGAGTTGAATGTTGAGAGAGACCCGATAAAGTATTTACTCGCGTATCTGCTTTTTCTGACGTAGGCTCTGCCGTGTCACTCAGTGGCGAATCTGTGTTGTCTGACTGCGAGTCCATGTTTACCTTCATAACAAGGAAAATAGTGGTGGATGGTGATATTCAAAACTGCCACGACCTAATCTACTGTGAATTAAACTTTTCTTGCGATAATATAAATGTCATGTTTTTATACGCGTGTCGTGCAGTTGTCCTTGTTTTCTCTACCAAACGACGACATGATGGCGGCTCGTGCCAGTCGTCACGGTGACACAACAGCAAATAATTCTGACACACTTGTGGCAACTGCTACCCCATAGTCGACACAGAAGAAAAAGATTTGTAGCACTGGATCCTTACAATTTTGTCACAGAATTGTCAAACTGTCATCAAATCCCGGCCTAAATCCAAGTTATTTTGCACAACTGTTTTGGACAAACCCGACTTCGAAACTCGACGCGTATTTGTACTAAGTTACCAAATGGAGAATAAACAAAACCCGTCGCAGATCGTTCACCAGTAGCCAGATCAAGTCTCCAACTCGTCAATAGATGCACTAGTAAATTTTCGAAACTCGATCGATTCCGTAAACGCCAACAACACGGTTGGCTTATCCCTGCATGACCTCGACTGGCTAAATCTTCGGCACGTCTATTAAAGCTCAACAGATTCTAAAATTTATGATAAAAAGTCACACTCGAACGATGTTTCACAGCACCGACGAACTGGCCCTGGCACAATTCAGAGATAAAATTGCGTAAATGATACAACACTATAGACTACTAACTCGGCTCAGCATGGATAGTTTCGTGTTGACATTAAGAGAGGCGGTTTCGATGATTAGTGTTGAGCTCTGATTCCAGCACCGCGACCATCGACGATACCATGTATACTACCTCACGCGCTAGACGTAAAGAGCGAGGGTCAGTTCTATGTGATGAAAATATCACTCACACTGAAAGCAGGGCTATGTCGTAATGCAACGACATCAGTTCTGTTCAATCTTGTCTCCGTGTGATTAAACACAGACATTCACATGAATATATCACGTTGGCCAAATTTATTGCACATATTTTTGAACCCGCTCCCCTTTCTCCAAAATAGAATGACCTGAAGATGCATTACACTTGCTCCATTTGTTCAAAACTTCCACAGAGGCAAGAGAATGAACACCGACACGACTGGTTTTCACAATGATTCCTTGAAGTCGGTGAGCCAAAAATGCTTACCCACACACAACCCTTTTCATGGAGCGATGTGTGTGTTTTTTTTTAATTATTTTAAAGGAGTAAATCCAGGCAAAAATGAACCGACTGAATGAAGTAACCAAATATTTTTGTTGTTTTGATTGAACTTACTAGTCGATGACCTACGCTGTTTAGAACGCGTATAGACTACTGGTATATTTGCTTCCAAGAACAGGTTGTGTTCCCGTGCACTATGATACTGTGAACGTATAATAATTTAATCTCACTAGTTTTATAATACTGGGTTTTTTATTTGATTTTATAGATTTGTCAGTGAAACCACGAGCGAGTTCTTAAACCCAGTGAATAAATACTGCAGTTACAGTACATCCATTGCGACCATACTAATCATGTTGTATTCGATTACAAGCGACGCATAATCACATTAAGGGGGATATCAGATTTACATCATCATCACAGTCAGTCGAATGTAAAACTAGCGGCTTCGTGGCTTCCCCTAGCAAATATTCGTAGAAAAATCGAGCTAGCTGTTGAGGGATAGAAAACCCAAGCAGAGTGTATACTGTACAATCTAAGCTGTAATCGCTGTAATTTGCAGCAAAAATAAATTGAACAACAAATCTTTATGCATAAGAGTAACACATTTAGGCGTTTATCAAAAATATATATATATACATGTATATTTTTTAATTTTAAGATCATTGGCACCAATTAGTGGTGAATTAACGTACGGTGAAATTAACATATTAGCAAGATGAAAGCGAATCAATTTGTTGTTTATCTTTCTTCTATATAGTATATGGTTTATATATAAGTTCATTTTGGTATTTGTTGTTCAGCTTGAATAAAACACGTTATATTAGTTACATAATTAACCGTAATTAGATGTAATTCGTTCCGCACTCTACCACGCCTTTGTCATTTTACTGTAATATAGTTTGTATATTCGCCTTCTACAATGTATGATGTAAATTTATTGATTACTGTCAATGTTATGTAAGTATTAGAGTTGCTTTATTGCGAGGACACTGTATTGTACGTTAACCTGTTGTCAACCCCGATAATGTAGTATCCATTGAAGTTTATTGAGGGAGGTTTTGAATTCTAATTTGTCACCTTAATATAAGTGACAACTTCGGCTTCAGTATTGATTGAGTGTTAAATAGGTTGCATTTAAAATCGATACTGAACAGAATGACGGGGTAAATAATGAAATGGTAATGGTACTGACGGACGACTTTAAATTTATGTTCTGAAGTGAATTGAACAGTGAAAAACATATGCAGTATTTGCTACTATTACCCCTTTCTTATAAACGGCGCCCTCTAGCGACGCGTGTCTGAGACGATAAGGCGTTCAAAGCCATTCAAAGCATCGAGGTCGTTTTGATTTGTTGCCGTCTTAAGTAGAGAGATTTTACTATATTCTGGATAACGAACGATTACACAACTAAACACTAAGGCCGTTTTAAACGATATTGCCTTCACCCATATACTAGTACGTCACTTTGACGTCACAGAAACGATATGTCACTAGAGGGGGCAATTTATAAGAATGGTCTAATATTTGGACAGTTTTCACGAAACTTTATGTTTTCACTTGGAATATATAATTGCCACACAATAATTAATAGTATTAAAATAACATGACAGTCACTATAAACATACACGTAACCCCAAAACAAACTCTCCCTGGGGTTGTTAACCTGAAAAATGGGTAGGTATATGTATGTACAATGGTTCTGTCCCGGAGCAAGATCCTGTTTCGTTCTGCTTTTGTGATTTAAAATCTGGCTTAAGTTGCTCGAGTTAAAACCAGAGTTGATTTGCATAATTACAACCCAACCCCTTCCAAGAAAAACGGTTTTCTTAGTATACAACAAACTTTCGGAGCAACATGCTACTGTTTCTCTCTTAGGTACCCGGTAACCAATAGCTCAACCTACCAAAGTGAGTGCAAACCCAAACCCCTCTTACACACACATGCACACAGACTTTTCCCCCAGATTGTACAATGCGAAATTTGCGATGGTCGTACTATATCACTCGAGCAATTTAACGGGTTAAATTACGCGTATCTCTGCCAATATCACGTGACACCATTGGTCCGACTACTAGTATGTCGCATTCAAGTTCTCTTGGGACCATTTGTTTGTATGTACGAGACAGTGACCGTGCGCTTCATTAGCCAATTTTCAACAAGGCTACAAGTTGCCGACGTATTCAGGACAGAATATCAACTTCAAATGCACCAAACCTATTGGTCGAGCATGTCGCAAACGTGACGCTTGACCTGGTCCGACCTTTACACTTGAAAAACTTATTTAATTGAACAAAAATCGCCCGTGGGCATCATCGCCAAATTAGAAAAGAAAAGCAAACACAGGCAATTAGCCGTGAAGATAGTCCTTGTGTGGGGTTTATAGGTCCATGGTTCTGGTATCGCTATAGAAGCATGGGTCCACAACAAATTAGGCAATGCTCAAGTTGGCTTCTTTTGAATCATTTTACTCATGGTCCAGACCTTGGTTTATTGCTTTTTCGCACAGTTTCGTAAACTTTGGACCACCAGCCGCGGGTCATGGACCGTGACAGTCCCGCGAATGTCGTCGTTGCGACACGTCGTGTTCCATACCATGGGTCCCATGCATGTAAAACATATTCGACCTCCATTCATTCATCAGCGTGGTCAAATTTGGGTCAATACTTTACAGGTATTGTACGTCAAATGAACATTTTGGTAAGTTGGGACAGGCTACTGTAGTATGGACACATAGCACAGTAAAGAAAATGTTGTAATTGGGGTTACATGGTTTGACGTCAGTGCACAATCCCTCAATGCACAGTGTTGAGGGACTGTGGTCAATGCTAGCAAAGTGTGAACTTAAAACCCAGAGAATATGCTCAAAACAGTGAAAATGAACGGTTTTAGTATATCTCCATATTCACTAAGAGAAAAACATAGAGATTAATGAAAAAAGCGAGAATACAGAGCAATGCAAGAAATTTTACACAATATACTTACGTTGTGTATTGCGGTCTCTTCATTTTTTGTTTGGCATCTCGGTTCCTCGTTGATGAAACTGTCACCCTCGCCGCCACTTCGTGAAAGTGATTGCGAAGTCGTATTCTCTCAGGACTTATCATTAACGAAACAATATGTCGGTTAACAGAATCGGGCAATATTGACATAAACCAATGTCATAATAATCGCGACTAGTGCATGCGTTGGTTGCTGTCACGCTTTTGTCATATAGTGTTGTCTTTTACATGTTAGCAGCATATACCGAAGGAGTGAGTAAACATGAATATTATAATTGTACAAATTAGAGTGTTTTCATTATTACTCGTGTGGTGGCCTGGTGACGGCCCTCCGCGTCCGTGTTTTATAACTATTACTGCTCTCCTATCGTCTTGATATCAATCGATACATGCACTAACATTACATACTTGTAAACCATTGGCTAGAACACAGTCATATGCACAGATCGCAGTATATACCCGCTGAATAATCCACGGCACCAAATAATGCATGTGTTATCGGCTGGCTGGTTTTCCTAATGTCAATTACGGCCACGTGATCAGTCGTGTAACGTAGAATTTCCATCGAAATGCAATCGATTACAACATCCGAACTCAGTCATGATGTAACCATCACGCTTAAATAACTCCAGACTACATAGAGCAGCGATAAAGCTACGGTGTGACGGTCATAAACATTAACATTTTGTCAACAGTGCGTCGCCATTGTCGGATCATGCAACTAGAAAGCGTAGAGACTAAGTCCTCCTTTCGTTTCCACCGAATTAAGCCAGCGGGATAAAGCGAGTGGGAATATCATGTTTTCTGTATGAACTATACAAGTTCTTTCGCT